CGGTGTTCGGGAGGTCATGGGTTCGATTCCTGTCGGGGACTCAGAATTTTTCTTTGTCCCACGCTCGTGTCATGTTGATTAATTCACCTTCACATTAATATTATACTTTTTATTAAGAGCTACATGTAGCACTGTCATGCGCATCATATGAACAAACTGGGCTTTATAGACGGGACCCGTCTACTGGTTTGTTTGTTTGTTTTATTTTTTTTCCTTGTATAAATATATTTACATAATATCAATGTATATTGCAAGGAAGCCCAGGGAAGCCAATAAGGCTTATGTAAAGGACTATCATAAAGATACCAAAGACTCAACGAAAGAATAAAAATGCTGTCATCAGCACACAAAATGATCACAATTAGATAATTAATTTAGGATAAAAAGTAGTTAAGCAAAGTTTAACACGCAAGCACAGCAAGAGAGCTAAAGTATACTTATACCAAGAAAGATGACTCTAGTTAATAGGTGTAAACCAGAAAACGACAAAGCTAAATCCACAGGAAAACATTGGACTTTGTCATTGTATCTGTATTTGTCATTGTATCAGTTAAAAGTCGGCATCAAACGCACTCTTATAATCTTTGATTAGTAGTAGTGTTTTTATAAAAGTATATCAATTTTCAGATAAACAGTTAAAACCTGTAAGTACATTGGCAATCGCATGGACAAACCCATCCTAGTTGACTTTAAAATTGGGAAGTGATACAAATTAGACTTGTTTACCTCCTGCTTACAAATTTTTTTTTCAGTAAATAAAAGGTTCTTGGCATGCAGTGTTCTAACTACAAAAATGTTTTCTATTAATTTCAGATGATTTTAACTGTTATTGCTACAAATACAGATGAAATTATTTCTTGTTACTTCAAAAGTTAATAAATATATTATTGTTAAATGGAAACCCCTACAAAATTGAACTGTTCCCACAGTGAACATTAATTCACAAACAGTGACTGCAAACATGCAGTTGCTTTTTCTGGTTAAACTACTATTACATGTACTTTGTCTATTACTGCTATTTCTCTAATGCTACTTTATAGTACTCTTTTCTAACAATTCAAGATAATGAATTTTAAACTTCACTGTGCAGTTTTAAGCTTTTTTATAAGCGTCAGTTGTTTTACTAGGTTGGCAGAGTAAAAGTAAATAGAAGGAGTACACATTTATTGCAGATATTATAGACACAAAAGGGAAGCTTTTCAATGATAACTGTTGCTGAGGCCTGTAAATATTTATCTGACTGTTTAACTTTTATTATTATTATAATATTATAATAATATAATAATAATTATAATAATAATAATACAACTAACAGATACAATACTACTACTGCTACTAATACACTATTCTAACAACCGACGAAAGTAAATATGAGCGACTACCTGGACTACTGTTTGCAAAGTCTACAACTTCATAGAACAACAACAACAGCAGCAGTAGCGAAAACAGTTATTGAATCAAATAGTGTCACAGTGCTTTTACGACTGTCATTCTATTGTTGGGTTTGAAGCCTGTGCTATGCTCTAGTAATCAGTCTGCAGATTTAACTTTATTCGTTACTGCAAATGATGTAGAGGTTTTTCTGATCAGTTATCTTGCAAAAGTGATCAAAATCCAATTTCTCCTTACAAAATCAGTACATTGTTCAAGCAAACAGGTGGTGAGAATAAAGACAATCATCAATACGGGAATCCTGTAGCCAGTGTACGTGTATATGGGATAAGTACAATACAAAGCTTTGGTATGATATATATCAAACATTTTTTTTTTCCATCTTTCAAGATTTCTCAGTGACCAGACGATTGAGTGAAGATAAAGACAAAGACAAGACACTGGTGGGATAATAAATAGACAGGACCTTTAGGACAAGACATAGCATACAAGGGATAAAAGTAAGACAGATTGAGAGATGGAGAGATTTTTTCCAAACCGAAAAGTAGGACGTGCAAGATAGGATTTTTTTCGTGGACTAAACGTTAGGATCGGCCAGAAAAATGAGTTACAGTTAGGCTTTGTAGGAAATTTGTCGTCAGCTGTGCTTTACAAATTTTAATGCAGTTTTTAATAATCTTTTTGTCCAGCTCGCGATGTGAGAGCTTGGTGGATTGTGTGACTGACGCGTGCGTGACTCTTGAACATCAGTGGTGTTGCGTTACACTTGCGGCCGTTGGGATTATGTCAGCAGGCTGATTTAGCAAGAGAACGGGAACGTCACTTGACGACGGCGCGCGCAGAACAAACACCCAAATATGGTCAAATTAGAACAGAATCCAGGTTATTCC